ATTATGACAATTGTCACTTATCTAGGGTACATCTCCACTAAAATATTATTTAAACATGTTAGCAATGCTTATTTTAGCCCATTTACGTCAAAAAAATTTGAAAAACTTTAAAAACAACGATTATGACAATTGTCACTTATCTAGCGTACATCTTCACTTAATTTTATTTAAACATGTTAGCAATGCTTATTTTAGCCCATTTACGTCAAAAAAATTCGAAAAACTTTAAAAACAACGATTATGACAATTGTCACTTATCTAGGGTACATCTCCACTAAAATATTATTTAAACATGTTAGCAATGCTTATTTTAGCCCATTTACGTCAAAAAAATTCGAAAAACTTTAAAAACAACGATTATGACAATTGTCACTTATCTAGGGTACATCTTCACTAAAGTTTTATTTAGACATGTTAGCAATGTTTATTTTAGCCTATTTACGTCAAAAAAATTTAAAAAACTTTAAAAACAATGATTATGACAATTGTCATTTATCTAGGGTACATCTACATTAAATTTTATCTGTTAAAGAAACATATTTTTGCCCATTAGCGTCACAAAAAAATCTTATATGTTCAAAAATATACCTACCTATTATGATAATTATCATTTTTCCAGGGAACATCTTCATTGAATTTATAATATAATATCTTTACAATATAAATTATATTATAACCCTTTTGTGTCCAAAAATTTCAAAAATCTTAAAAAATAACGCATATGACAATTGTCGCATTAAAAAAAAGTTTGACATAAATATTAATAAAAAAATAATTTAGAAAAACCACCTCTTTTAATATACTTAAAATATAGATATATTTTTAAAAAAAATTATTTAGAAAAAGAAAAACCACCTCTTTTAATATTCATAAAATATAAATATATTTATTAAAAAAATATTTAGAAAAAGCCACCTCTAATAATAAACTTAAAATATAGATATATTTATAAAAATAATATAAAAAAACTATAGAAGATTTGACCTAAAAGATTATTTATTTATGATATAATTAAAAAAAGAATAAAATTTTATGATAAAACAAAAGAATAAAATTTTTTAAAAAAATCAGCAAAATATGTTTCAAAAATATTTTTTGCTTAAAATTTTTAGCTCAAAAATATTAATTTTTTTTTATTTAAAAAAAAATCAAATAAATAAATCCATTTTTTTATAATCAAATCTAAACATATTATTTGCATTAAATAAAATATAAATAAAATAAATTATTTTACTAAAAATAAATAAATAAAATTCTACATTATTATTTAAAATTTCTCAATAACATAAAAATAATTTTTGGCTCTAAATTTAAAATAAACTCAAGCTACCCTCTGAGCCCACTAAGTGAGCCGACTAAGTGAGCCGACTAAGCGAGCCGACTGTGAGCCGACTAAGCGAGCCGACTAAGTGAGCCGACTAAGCGAGCCGACTAAGTGAGCCGACTAAGCGAGCCGACTAGTGAGCCGACTCATGCGGCTCCTTGATCGGCTTGAGTCGGAGCCGTTTTTTACGACTACGACTCGAGTCGCAAGTCGTAAGAACTCGACTTTTTAACAACACTAATTATTACAAACTACTATTATTTTAAGATATAATATACCAACTTGAGGTGATACGACAATAATATATAAAATCTTAATTGCTTTCATTATATCACTCTGGTTCTTATTCTATAGTTACAAATTGTTTCATTTCTCTATGACATACTTGCTGTGTAAATAATTTGCATAATTTCTTCTAAAGATTTTTAGTGTTTTTGTTTTATCAATTTGTCTAACATAATAAATTCTTATATGGGTTACCATCGTGAGTGTCATGGCTATGACCGAAAATTAACCAGCATCTATTATTTGTGTGGCAATTAAGTTAAGATCATTACTACAGCTGCTGAGATCTTATGATTGCATATTTTATATAAGTAATAATGGTCAACTGTGTAGTCGTTTATATATTATTAAAAATGGAAGATAATCTTTTAGAAATTTAATATATTACAATAATTTTCTCTATTACTTATCTAGCTTCCATCATGTCATCTAAGAAGAAGCTCTAACCACTATGTAGTTTTATGATGTGGATTGGTCGTTTATATTCTCTTCTTCAAGTATTGTTCATTTGGTAAGGCTAATAAATTTTTCCTTATTAGTCCATTCTATAAAACATTGTCTAAAATGGTAACATTATATTAGTTATGTGGTTTTTAAAACCATTATCAATTGAGGCATATGTATGAATTAATTAACCTTTTTTATCACTTGTAATTCTTTAGGCGCAAATTATTTTTATATCAACAATCGAAAATATTTTATACTGTAATAAATAGATATTGTATTAAGAAATATTATTTTTAGAAATGTCTTGTATTTTAATTATTTATATGCTAGTTTATTTTGTAAAAATATAATAAATTTCAAAATATGAAATTCAGAATAATTGTTTAGAGTTTGCAAATTTTAAAAAAGTATATTATATTAATATAAAACCCTTTAAAAATTTTTAAATAAATGTATTCCATATAATATCAGTGTGACCAAAGTCAAATCAACCGTTGGAACGTGTCCACATTGATTTTTTTGATTTGGATAAAAAAAAAGGTATTTTTAATTGTGGATTCATATTCTAAGTGGATTGAATATGAAGAAGTTCATGGGTTAACGACCAATTTGTCATAATAAAAATTATGGACTAAATTTGGGATTCCAAAAATGATTGTGTTGATAAAGGTCCGGCCTTTATATGTAAAAATTTTAGACTTTTTGTACTTCGTTACAAATAGAACACGGGCTCCACCATATTATTCTACTCTAATGGCCAGGCTCAGAGGATGGTTGTTATGGTAAAAATTTGGATTAAAAAGACCAAACAAGAAAATGTGATGTAAGATGGCCCATTTATATTATAATAATTTAGGAACGGTGAAGATGTAACGCCTGCTGAATTATTTTTGAGTAGAAGGACCAGTATGCCCTTGGATTTTTTTAAATCAAAAGGCAGTGATTATATCACCATTTGAAAGAATAACATAAAATTTTCAGTGGGACAAATTATATGGTCTCGTTTATTCTATAATAAGAAAAAATAATGAGGAAAAGGTTATAAAAAAAAATGTGGGTGCGAAATTGAATCGCATAGCTTTCGAGGAAGGGACCATTGTGATTCGTCACAATGACCATATTATTAAACGAGAATAATAATAAGAGTGTAAATATTATTAAATATAAAAACCAATTATAGAATATAGGATATATTTTTAATATCTAAGTTGGTCTATCATAGGCGTAGCCAGGGGGGGGGGGGCAAGGGGAAATTCCCCCCCTCTTCAGAAATTTATCACTTTTTGTAAATATCATTTATAGCTAATAAAAAATATCCCCCTTAGTCCTCTCCCCACTCCCTGACCCTCATATATGTATGCATATATCTTAAATAATAATTTAAAAGAAAGAATGTAAAAGTAGATATTTTTTTATAAAACTATTCATCATAATTTATAGATTTTTGAGAAAATAAATTTATAAATATATAAAATGAACCAAAAATGTTTTTTAATAAATGGAATATAGGCCAAGGATAAGTCTTAAGACAGAAGTGAAATGTATTATAATTATTAATAATAGATCTATAAAATTACTAAATAATATAATATATCAAATATAATTTTTTATAAAGTGAGTAATTTTAATTTATTTATCTCAATAAAAGTAAAATATAATTATAAAACTATTGATAAAATTAAATCATAAATTAAAAAAATATTAAAGCACAATATAAACAGTGGAATATTATATGTCGTCGATTTACAATATATCTAATTATCAAATGACAATCAATTTTACCAATATAGCGTATATATTTTACAGAAAACTATAAAATATTGATAAGGACATCAGAAAATATATTTTAAAGACATTGTGGGATGAATAATATGAAGATTAAATTTATATATACTTAAATAAAATAGATGGCGTTAAATAATTGTATGCATATTGTTGCTATATTTAATATTAAGAGCATTGATTAGTAAATTTTGTCAGATTATTAACTGTAATATATTCTCTAACTGTCAAATATGTCTGTAAAATTGGAATTTTACCTAGTATTTTATAACTAATTCTATATAATAGGGTAAAATCAACTATATGTCTACTTACTTATTATAAATAAATTTCTTATAATTGTTTGGAATAAATTATTACCATGCTTTTATATTAAGGTATATACAATACAAGTAATTTATTATATTTTTATTTTATATAAACTAATAAAAATATATTTCATATTTGTTCCAGGCTTATTTTTTTTATTAAAATTTGTAAAAATATTTTATGACTATATATAGGTTACCAAAAGGGGATCTGGGGGCAAAGCCCCCAGTATTTTTTTGATTCCTCCCCCCCCTTATGAAAATCCTGGCTACGCCTATGTGGTCTATGATATCTAAATTTATATAAAAATTTATGCACAAATCAATGTATAAACCTATGTATGTGACAATAGGGGTATTTAAAAGAAAAATCGAACGATTATTTTAGTTTGAAATAAATATAAGACTTTCTGTAAATTAATTATATGACTAAAATGCCTGCCAAATCCTGCCCCCCCCACCCCCTTCTCCGACAATCCCTGACCTACGAACTCCGTCGAACTCTTCCCCTCCCCGATGGTTGGACTCGAATGTTCAAATACAACAGCAACGATTGACGGAAATGCCTTAACTTTTATTCAAGATAAACAAAAATTATAACGAGTTATATTTTTTGTAGTAATGCTCCTTTTTGAATTTTATAGCATTAATATTAATTTAAAGTTTTAAATTTAATAAACTAACTTAATTTTAAGATATATAGAATAAAATATGAATATTGGTAATATATTTATAGTTTTTAAAAAGAAACTAAATATGTTAAGAAATGAATACTCATAGCAAGTATACTAGATAATAAGATATAAGTTTATAATTAGTATTAAACCGCCATCTATATGTAAATACGATTTCATAAACATTTCCTAGTGGCCTTCATATCATAACTAGTAATGACTCAAGTATAATTACGATATTTTTTCTTTGATTATAATAATTTTTTTAGAATAATCCTATATCTCCTTCCGACAATATATTGTCATCTAGTTCAAATAATATAACTCCTATTTCGCCTCGTGCTAATTATAAATCAATTATAAAATCGTTCATATCTCGTCTTGTCATAATATATGCAGTATCAACCTTTTTTAAAAATCCCAAAGAATCGCAAAATAATTTAAATACAACAGCGTTGAAGTGTAGACCATCAAATATTTTACTTTTAGGGGAAATTATTGTAATTAATTATTTTAAATTCAAAAGGGTAATATTAAGGCTGATAGATCTTTAAATTATTTTATTTAATGATAGATAAGAACTTTTAAATATTGTTTATATATAGATACACTCTATTTAAGATTAATATATTTTGTTATCATTTTAATTTCAAGGATTTTTATGTTTACACATCTGAAAATGGAGAGCTTAACTCATTTGATAATTTATCAACTCTAATTTGGAATGAGAATGGCATTGAATATGGAAATTGGTATCAAGGTTCTCATCATGATAGTTCTTATATATTTTCTACTAAGCTACCTGTCACATCAGTAAATAAAATAATATTTTTTTCCTCAAATATTGGTTATTTTGTATTAATGGTTTATAAGATTAATTATTGATTTAACTGGCTATAAAAATTTACCTTTTTTTTTACCTAAAACTAAATCTAATTAAAATAAGTTTTATTATAAATAATACTTTATTTTGTCTTAATATATATCTTATTTATCATATTGACAAAACAGTTGAAGAAACATTTAATTTTGGAGTCTTTATTTATTTCCAAAAGAAAATATTTTGACTTTTTTTCTCAATTAACTTTTAACAGACCTATTTATTATTAACAGATACTTCTTTTGATGGGTTGGATTTTTATCATTTTTCCTCCTATTTTTTTCTTCTTTATCACTTATTTAAACTTTGATTTAGCAATCAATTAAATTATAAGATATATTATTTTAATAATCTATAAATAATGATGTTCTATTTAATAGGCTTTGAATAATAATGGTTCATTATATGCATATTTTTACGTGGTCAAAAATGGGAAATCTCCTAATCCCAAAAGCTCAGATTTTGACCCAAAGTTTACATTCTATGCCAAAAAAAGTTCAAATAAATGATGAAACTTTTATTTTTACTACATGTTAGGACTGAATAAATATAAAAGAAAATTCTATAAAAAAACACACAACTTATTATCAGGAGAAACTGATGATGTGGAGGGAAAACTGGTAATAATAATTTTTTTATTTGTATAATTAATGTAAATAGAAAGTTGAAAATGGAACAAAGTCAGAAATCCTTTCTCACTGGCATTCCAATTTAACCATCAACTTATTAGTAGACAACACAACTTGGGTTCAAGGACATATACCTCATCCAATTGATGAATGTAACAATTTATATAACAGTTTTATTTCCAATATGATAAAATATAATGAATATTATTTTTATATATGGCTCAGAAAGAGATCTAACCATTCAGGAATATTATTATAGTAACTTTATGACAAGTGTATGTAGTATATAGGAGATATAGATAATCCTCAAGAGGCAATGTGAGAAAAAGCTAACGAGTGCTATTGCCTCTTTCTTACCTCTAAATTTAATTGCATATATGTCAATTTGCTATTAAGCCTAAAAATTTGCTGATACACACCAATAGTGTTATTAAACACCTCAATTTGAGTCGATTTTTAAAAATGGTTAACTCACTATTTTATCTAGAAAATTATTATGCACTGAAATTTTGATCATAGATGGCACAAAGGTTTGGAAATCTATTCACAAAATCTCGAGGCTTAGGCAATATTTATCTGGCTACAATATTGAGTTAGTTTTTTTAAAAATCGTCTAAAATCAAGGCATTAAACAACACTACACTATCTTCAGAGAATAATATAAAATAAATTTCCTTAATTATATTATAACAGAAATTTTATGATTTTCCATAGATGCTTCTATACCATTATTTTATTCTATACTGATACTGAAACAAGATTTGTCTTAAAAAGAATCTAGATACCAATTATTTAGAAAAATATATCATAAATATTGATACAAGTATCTTATTTAAATATGCAAGATATAAGATACTTATATCTTTTCCTGAATAAAAGTATCTTCAATACAAGATACTTTTTATTGAAAAGTTTTTTTCTTCTTTATACCCAGCAAGCTATAAAGTAGATTACGAGATCAACATAATTTTGTGGTTCACAAAAAATCTTAAGAGTATTAGTCTTCACAAAAAGTTTAAATATTTTTGGAATTGATAGATTAAACATTTTGGTATACATGGTGGTTAAGGCATTGTAAATGTTACTGTTTATAACTTAGAAACCTTTAAGATGTATGGGTCTGATATTTTTAGGATATCTTAATAGAGTCATGAGTTAATAAAATCAAAAAATTTTATACCTGGCATAAATGGGTTACAAAATGCCCATCATTCATCTAAAAACAAATGTAAACTTTAATTTTGGCCTAAAATAGGAAATGTCAGAAAAACCATGCTAAAATATACTCAATTTAATTCTATATTGGTATAAAAAATTTGGAGATTTTTATTTCTCGTCACCTCTCGAGGGTTAAAAAATCCAAAATAAATCAAGATAAATAAAATAAGATATAAATTGTTTAAAATAACCTTAAATTTATCTCAAATCATAATAAAACTCAAATTTTATTTTATTAAGGCTAAAATCTATTACATTTATCAAATATGGAAAGATTTAATTACGTAATTTTCTCATAATCATTTTTGCTATAATTAACTAAACTTTAACTATACTTTTAAAATGCATCTAAACAAAACAAATTATTTTAATATATTATGAATTATCATAGTCAAGTACTCAATTAGAATAATAAAAACTAATTTTACAGCACCCCTTTGCTTAAGATTGATCCTTACCCCTATTGTTCATTAGCGTGGGATTCCTCTTTCCTTCCACTTCATCTTCCTGCACTGCTAAAAAAGTATCATTATTGGCCAAAATAATTGTTGGACAACACCTCATTACATGATCACTGCCACATGACCAGCATGACATTCTTCGTCTTTTATGTTTTGTTCCCTTCTTTGGTCATAGGAAGAACGAGTTGGCTTGTCTTTCATAGTTTCTCCTAGATTTTCCCTAAGTTATTTGATATTTATCATTCATACAATTTCGATATACATTTTTTATCTGTATAAATATTTAATATTATATCTAAATCATATTAGAACACAGGACTAAAAAAATCTTAGCATAATTTAGCATATGTTTTTTTTCTTTATCGTTTAGCGGCGGTTTTCCAGGTTTACACAGGAAAGCCGTTTCTGTACTTGTTACGATGGGCCTCGCCAATCGTAAGACCCATTTTTTATGTCACCCATTATCCCATCCATCCACTTATTCATTGTCCTTCCTCAAGGCTTGATCCCCCTTACAACGATTTGCTTCTCTTTACTCAATCATTTTTCGTTTTTCTCAACATGCCCAATCCATCTCAGTTTATTTCTTCTCATCACAACTTCAATCTCTCCTACACCAACTTTCCCATAATTCGTTGCATGTTTTTCTCTCTCATAAACGCCCCTGACATTCTCATAAACGCCCCTAACATTCTCATAAACGCCCCTAACATCCATCTTACCATTCTCATCTCCCTTCTTTTAGTTTAGCTTCATGCTTCACTTTTATTACTCACGTTTCGCCACCGTAGACTACAGCTTCGCACAAAGTTTACATAAACTTTTCCTTTCCACCTCAGAGATACATTTTTATCTGTTAGAATATAAAATACCTCCTAAAATTGTTCCACCTTGCCACAATAGCTGAATTAACACCTCTATCTGCGTTTAACATGTCACCCAGATAACAAAACTATCTCACTTCCCCAGAGTAGCTTCATAACCGACGAACCTTATTCACGCATGTTCTACAGTTAAAAGTCATGCTTACTTTCATTAAACTGGTACATCTTTTTTGCACTCATTTGACAACTAGTGCATTGGATTGAATTTCTGGCATCACCTTGCTCACACATTCCACATGGCCAAGTGCCCGTTAATTCCGTATTTCTCGATCCTTCCCCATATCATCATAAACTATTTTTTAAAAAATTGGTTTAATTAATATTGATCAAAAATCTTATGAGAGTTAAAAAGGTAGTCTCGCTTTAATAGATGGTTAGGAGGGCCTTTTCCAATCTTAATTCTTTTAGTCAGAGTTAGAATCAAGGTTTACATTTTTATTTTGGGAAATTTTTATCACTTACACTACCCTATTAATCAAATTTATTCTTAAGTTTATATTTGCCTCTTTTTTAAATAAAAGCCCATAGATTTTCTATTGGATCTAAATCGAGGCTTTAAGCACGTCATTCCAGTAGAGCCGAACCGCTGCCTTATAAAAAAATTTTTAGGTCAATTTTGATCATATTTTTTTTTCTTGAAGAAAAAAATTTCCATGCGTAAAAATCAACGAGTTCCTTCTATAAAATGCATTTCCCTTCAGCAAACACAGGAGTTTTGTTCTTATGTCAATTTGAGTAGTTTCATTTCTAGTAAAATGACAGAATTATTCGAAGATTTTAAATGTACTTTAAAAAATAAAACCATAGAATGAATCTTTCCATTTCAAATACTATTAGAATGTTTCTACCATTTGTATAAGAATGTCTACACTGGCGTATCAAGGATTTTCATAAGCACATATATAAAAAAGGAATATAAAATTTTTAATAATAACAAAAATAATTTCTTAGGTAATATTAGGTATTCATTTGCACCACGAATTTATATCAGGATAATATATTGTTATAGATTGATATTTGTTGCTCAATTTCTCTTTTTCCTATTTATAAAATACAGCCAAATTTAAAAATAAACCCTGACGCTCATTTTTTTTGCTATTTTGAATTTTGGCATGATTAAATGTTTATTTTTATAATTTTTTCTACAGTGCATTAGTATTTAATTGTCGAATTTAGACCTTAAGCGGTTGTTTTTAATTTTTATAACATAAATTTTTTCTGGAATTAACGAAACTGGGAAAAAATTTCTAACATAATATCTCGGCATGAGTACGATTATTATGAAAGCTAATAAAAAGATCTTTTGACTGCACTATATTTTTAATAATAGTATCCAAATGATAGATAATCATAGCTGTAACATATATCGGGTCTACACATAATAGATAACCTTTTTGTAATAGATGTTCACAATATTGAATTGCGTTAAAGAAAATGGCGATAAAGAAAGGTTGTAGATAATAATAAGTGATTTTTTTTTGTATTTAAATTTTTTGAACTTAACCTTTATTTCTCTATTATAAAAAAGAATTAAGGCTTAAAATTTTACACAAAATTTTTAAGTATAACATATACAAAGGTCTAATTTTCTGCAATATTTTCTATATAAAAACAATTAGACATAGTATTTGATGAACATGATCCCTGTTATTACAAACCAGTCTTATACGTTAATGATTTTTGGAATTTAGCTTCTGATTATCAACCAATTAATTCTTCAATCGAGTATTAATTAATAAATGAATTTATTGGATTTTTCTATATTTTTATTAAATTATTTTAATTATATTTTGGTTTTAATAGATTCATATTTATACGATCTACTTTGAAATTTATTATAATAAACACAAAAATCGATCAAACACCATTTTTGCCAACCCTTATTGATTTTGACAAAATTTATTAAATAAACTAAATAATTTAGGATATTTCTTTAGTTTTACAACCTAATGCTTAATCATTTGATAAACATAATATAAAGTTCATTATTATTTATACTTTAATAGATCATAGCTTGATTATTAAAAGTGTTCAATCTTCATTCTGGTCTAAATAATCTAATATTTGATTTCTTTATCTATTAAATTGATTTCATAATACCTTGATTTTTTGAAATAATAATTTTTTTTACAGTAATTTAATATTTATAACGTATAAATTGCCTTGGAAAAAATTCTATATAATTCCAATTACACTCAACTATAATGTATATTTAAAATGATTATGTCATTTTTATAATTGCTCTCCTGAGAGATTATAAAAAGTGAAAATAAGACACCATATTTATAGGCCAATGATATAAAAATTCTAATTACCAATTTTATTTAAAGCTTTTTAAATCTGACGTTAACCTTCAGTCCGATATCCCTTTTCAAATGGCAAATGTACGTTTCCCAAAATGTAAAAAACAAATGGATGACTATGTTAACTGAAGGTGTGAACTTGGGTAGTTCTCAAGCCAATACAAGTAACCTTGCAGAAGATCTTGATTCCCAGGATGAAAGTAAGGATGCGTTTAAGAAAGCGCTCCTAGACACTAATCCATACCTACTGGGCTTAACTATCATAGTCTCTATTGTGCACAGTGTTTTTGAAATATTAGCCTTTAAGAATGGTAATTTCATTTTCTTACTTTTTTTACTGAGTTTTTAATGATTACTTGGACAAAATATTAATAGTATTCGGGTTAAAACTAACAAGGTTCATAAATATAACGAATAAATAATATTCATTTTCGAATAATAATGGCAGATATTCAAAATATTAATAAACCTTATTCATATTTTTTTAAATTGATTTACACAAAAATACACTCTTTTGATTTGAGTGGATTTTAGTACTGTAAACATTTCTAAAAAAATATAACGCGTTTAACGTTCATTGGCAAAATCTCGCATTCATCTAACTTCAAAAAAAAGAACGCGTTCACGTTAGTTCAAAACTTTATAAATAAATATTTTAAAAATTTTTTATGATTCGGTCAATTTACCAATTTTTGACCGGTCAAATTCAAGTTTTAACTTTATTTTATATATAAAAGTAAAAAATGAATCTATGTAATTTAAAAAAAAATTTATAACTAATGTTTTGCTCTCCGTGGCAGAGTCTTGTTCTGATTTATATTAAATATTATCATTTTCTTTAATATTTTTAATAATTCTTAGGTTATGATACACTCTTGCCAATTTTCCTGTAGTCGAGATCTTCAATCGATTTATTTTCTTCGTATGAATATTACCCCAATCATAATTTCTTTCTGAAAGAGAAGTATAACTAGGGATTTTTTGTAAGATATTTCACACTTCTCTTAATGATCAAGGAGGGCAAAACCCAGTCCAACAACTTGAGTCCGAAATATAGTTCTTTATGAAAGTTACTGCTTTACACATATTTTGGCTATTAAATATTACGCCGTTTTTACTTCTGAAATTTATATCACTTAAAATATTTTGATTATTATCATCACCTTGTAAAATGCCTAATTCTTGTATCATATCAAATGCTTCATCAACTCACTATTAGTAAGATGCTCTCCTTATATTGGGGATCCAATAAATAATCAGCAGTGTGAGCATATGTATTTAGATTGTTTTTTCTTTTTCAAACATATCTATAATTTTTTTTTCTTCAGGTGGAGAAATGATAAAATCACAATTATGTGTTTTACATAGTGTTGTTAAACGGCTAAGCCTAGTCGACTTAGCTATGACTCGAGCCTAGTTTCTAGTCGATAAAACAGCTCAGACTCGAGTCGACTAAATGAGCCGCATTAGTCGGCTCATTTAGTCGGCTCGCTTAGTCGGCTCACTTAGTCGGCTCGCTTAGTCGGCTCATTTAGTCGGCTCGCTTAGTCGGCTCACTTAGTCGGCTCGCTTAGTCGGCTCATTTATGGCTCGCTTAGTCGGCTCACTTAGTCGGCTCGCTTAGTCGGCTCACTTAGTCGGCTCGCTTAGTCGGCTCACTTAGTCGGCTCGCTTAGTCGGCTCACTTAGTGGACTCAGAGGTTAGCTTGAGTTTAATTTAAATTTAGAGTCAAAATTTATTTTTATGTTATTGAGATATTTTAAATAATAATGTAGAATTTTATTTATTTATTTTTAGTGAATAATTTATTTTATTTATATTTAATGTTAATATTTTATTATTATCAAACAAAAAATTTTTTTAACTTTTATTTCAAATATGTTTTGATCTTATAATAAAAATGGATTTATTTATTTGATTTTTTTTAAATAAAAAAAAATTCATATTTTTGTCGAGCTAAAAATTTTAAGCAAAAAATAATTTTTGAACAAAAATATTGAAACATATTTTGTTGATTTTTTATTAATTTTTAACTTTTTTAAGAAATACTTTTGTTAATTTTATCATAAATAAATAATCTTTTAGGTCAAATCTTCTATAGTTTTTTTATATTATTTTCATAAATATATCTATATTTTAAGTTTATTATTAGAGGTGGCTTTTTCTAAATATTTTTTTAATAAATATATTTATATTTTAAGAATATTAAAAGAGGTGGTTTTTCTAAATTATTTTTTTATTAATATTTATGTCAAACTTTTTTTTAATGCCGCAATTGTCATATGCGTTATTTTTTAAGATTTTTGGACACAAAAGGGTTATAATATAATTTATATTGTAAAGATATTATATTATAAATTCAATGAAGATGTTCCCTGGAAAAATGATAATTATCATAATAGGTAGGTATATTTTTGAACATATAAGATTTTTTTGTGACGCTAATGGGCAAAAATATGTTTCTTTAACAGGTAAAATTTAATATTGTCATAATCGTTGTTTTTAAAGTTTTTCGAATTTTTTTGACGTAAATGGGCTAAAATAAGCATTGCTAACATGTTTAAATAAAATTTAAGTGAAGATGTACCGTAGATAAGTGACAATTGTCATAATCGTTGTTTTTAAAGTTTTTCGAATTTTTTTGACGTAAATGAGCTAAAATAAGTATTGCTAACATATTTAAATAAAATTTTAGTGAAGATGTACGATAGATAAGTGACAATTGTCATAATCGTTGTTTTTAAAGTTTTTCGAATTTTTTTGACGTAAATGGGCTAAAATAAGCATTGCTAACATGTTTAAATAAAATTTTAGTGGAGATGTACCATAGATAAGTGACAATTGTCATAATCTTTGTCTTTAAAGTTTTTTGAATTTTTTTGTCGTAAATGGGCTAAAATAAGCATTGCTAACATGTTTAAATAAAATTTTAGTGAAGATGTACCATAGATAAGTGACAATTGTCATAATCGTTGTTTTTAAAGTTTTTCGAATTTTTTTGACGTAAATGGGCTAAAATAAGCATTGCTAACATGTTAAAATAAAATTTTAGTGAAGATGTACGATAGATAAGTGACAATTGTCATAATCGTTGTTTTTAAAGTTTTTCGAATTTTTTTGACGTAAATGGGCTAAAATAAGCATTGCTAACATGTTTAAATAAAATTTAAGTGAAGATGTACCCTAGATAAGTGACAATTGTCATAATCGTTGTTTTTAAAGTTTTTCGAATTTTTTTGACGTAAATGAGCTAAAATAAGCATTGCTAACATATTTAAATAAAATTTTAGTGAAGATGTACGATAGATAAGTGACAATTGTCATAATCGTTGTTTTTAAAGTTTTTCGAATTTTTTTGACGTAAATGGGCTAAAATAAGCATTGCTAACATGTTTAAATAAAATTTTAGTGAAGATGTACCCTAGATAAGTGACAATTGTCATAATCGTTGTTTTTAAAGTTTTTCGAATTTTTTTGACAGAAATGGGCTAAAATAAGCATTGCTAACATGTTTAAATAAAATTTTAGTGAAGATGTACCATAGATAAGTGACAATTGTCATAATCGTTGTTTTTAAAGTTTTTCGAAATTTTTTGACGTAATTGGGCTAAAATAAACATTGCTAACATTATTAAATAAAATTTTAGTGGAGATGTACCATAGATAAGTGACAATTGTCATAATCGTTGTTTTTCAAGTTTTCGAATTTTTTTGACGTAAATGGGCTAAAATAAGCATTGCTAACATGTTTAAATAAAATTTTAGTGGAGATGTACCATAGATAAGTGACAATTGTCATAATCGTTGTTTTTAAAGGAATTTTTTTGACGTAATTGGGCTAAAATAAGCATTGCTGACAATTGTCGCATTAAAAAAAAGTTTGACATAAATATTAATAAAAAATAGAAATAAATTAAAAAGGAATAACTAAAATAAATAAAAGTTAAAGAAAAATTGACAAAAATTTAAAAAATATTATGATTTTCTTAGTACATCTTCACTAAATTTTTATTTAAACATGTTAGCAATGCTTATTTTAGCCCAATTACGTCAAAAAAATTCCTTTAAAAACAACGATTATGACAATTGTCACTTATCTATGGTACATCTCCACTAAAATTTTATTTAAACATGTTAGCAATGCTTATTTTAGCCCATTTACGTCAAAAAAATTCGAAAAACTTTAAAAACAACGATTATGACAATTGTCACTTATCTAGGGTACATCTTCACTAAAATTTTATTTAAACATGTTAGCAATGCTTATTTTAGCCCATTTACGACAAAAAAATTCGAAAAACTTTAAAGACAAAGATTATGACAATTGTGACTTATCTATGGTACATCTCCACTAAAATTTTATTTAAACATGTTAGCAGTGCTTATTTTAGCCCATTTACGTCAAAAAAATTTGAAAAACTTTAAAAACAACGATTATGACAATTGTCACTTTTCTATCGTACATCTTCACTAAAATTTTATTTAAATATGTTAGCAATGCTTATTTTAGCTCATTTACGTCAAAAAAATTCGAAAAACTTTAAAAAAAACGATTATGACAATTGTCACTTATCTAGGGTACATCTTCACTTAAATTTTATTTAAACATGTTAGCAATGCTTATTTTAGCCCATTTACGTCAAAAAAATTCGAAAAACTTTAAAAACAACGATTATGACAATTGTCACTTATCTATCGTACATCTTCACTAAAATTTTATTTAAACATGTTAGCAATGCTTATTTTAGCCCATTTACCTCAAAAAAATTCTAAAAACTTTAAAAACAACGATTATGACAATTGTCACTTATCTAGGGTACATCTTCACTTAAATTTTATTTTAACATGTTAGCAATGCTTATTTTAGCCCATTTACGTCAAAAAAATTCGAAAAACTTTAAAAACAACGATTATGACAATTGTCACTTATCTATGGTACATCTCCACTAAAATTTTATTTAATACATGTTAGCAATGCTTATTTTAGCCCAATTACGTCAAAAAAATTCGAAAAACTTTAAAAACAACGATTATGACAATTGTCACTTATCTATGGTACATCTCCACTAAAATTTTATTTAAACTTGTTAGCAATGCTTATTTTAGCCCATTTACGTCAAAAAAATTCGAAAAACTTTAAAGACAAAGATTATGACAATTGTCACTTATCTATGGTACATCTCCACTAAAATTTTATTTAAACATGTTAGCAATGCTTATTTTAGCCCATTTACGTCAAAAAAATTCGAAAAACTTTAAAAACAACGATTATGACAATTGTCACTTATCTAGGGTACATCTTCACTAAAA